CCGCGGGCCCGCGCCGCGCCCGTGTGGGCGCGGTGCAGCAGTGGCTCGTCGAGCTTGCGGAGTCCGAGGGCGGGAAGAGGCTGGTCGGAGCTCCACCTCGCGGGCCCCTGGAGAGGGTGCTCAGCAAGTGCCTGGAGGAGTGCGGCGGCGGCAAGAAGGCATGGGGCTCTCGACGGACTTGCGTGCGAGCTCGCGCCTGGCCGAGCTGCTAGCAAGAGGGCCACCCCTCCGGCCTGCCTTCCGCCCCCGCTGCTCCGCCTCCGCCTCGCAGTTAGAGCGCGCGGCAGTTCACTTCCCGGCCCCCTGATTTTTTGGCCCGCGCCGACGCTGCAGCGTCGCGGCAGCGGGGGCAGGGGAAATAATGGTCGCTCGAGCAGTAACGGTGCCGGCTCAGGCAGGAGTCCGCGTGCCTAAGGCCAGCCGAGCCTTCGGGGCGTTGCGTGCGTCGGGTTCGTGCTGGCAGGGTCCGTGCGGCACCTGGCCGAGCGTGGGCCGCGCCTTTCAGCAGTTTGTGACTGTTTCGTAGGATAAGCTTCCTCAGGGAACAACCTCGGGGGGCAGTTGCGAAGTCATGCTCGTTGGACAATATGCAGCGTGGTCAGTGCTCTCCTTCGAACCTGGCCCACGTGAGCCAGACAAACAATGTGCTCTTGGGGCGCTCTTAGGCGTTCTTGGGGTCAAAGGACCATGTTGAGGCCACAAACGCGAATCGGAAGCAAATCGGCGAGACGGCAACCGTCACCGATTTTCTTGAAATGTTCAAACGGATTTTGCTTCTGTGGGGTGGAGGTGGGGGTGGGTGGGTCTTTAATGGGGGTCAGAGAACTCTTGGAGCTGTCTCGCGGTCCTCGCGGGCTCTCTTGGAGCCATGGCTGAAGCTATCTTGAACCATCTTCCGCCATCCTTGGCATCCTCGAGGCCATCTTGGGGCGTTGGACGCTCTCTTGGAACCATATTGGGCCATCTGGGGCGCCCTGCGACCCCGCGAAGCGATCGATCGACGAAACATCAGGGAGGGAATGGGGAAAACACTCTTCCCCAAAAGGTTTTGGGAGAAAAGGAACACGTCCGTAGCCCACCTTAACCCAAAGGGCTGGTGGGATTATCCCCCCGTGCAACGCGCAATCAGAAAAGGGGAGCTGGGTGTGTTGGGCGAGGCCGGAGGATAAGTAGGAGAAGGGGGATGAGGAGGTTTAACCATTAACATGGAGTGGGGGAGGAGATATTGGGGAGCAGCCGCAGTTGGAGAACGAGGAGTGGGATAAACGGGAAGACGATTGGGTGGTGGAGGAGGGGAATTCAGGGGGGCGACAATGACGAGGATTGATTCGGATATGGAGTTGTGGTCCTCGCTGGGGCTACCGTGCAATTCAGAAGGACGGGAACAACGCACTGGTCTTGATGTGAGGCCAACGCTGCAGCGATACTACAATCTTGAAGCGCCGACCATTCTGTGATGGGGACAGCATATGCGATATCAGGTAATGAACGCCTGTGCGTTAACTCATATACGCCGGCGGGGCAACACACCAAATAACTAGTACACTCTGGAGGCGGAACTTGTGCGGTGTACGCTATGTCGTGTAGGCGATGTCGTGTAATTATATGTGGCGCGAACTACGGGTGTGAACGCTATGCGATACAAGTTCTGTGGCATAGTATATGACGTGTAATATATATATATATATATATATATATATATATTGTGCGATCTGGACGTGGAAGCTATGGTTTGTGAGCGTTGTCGTGTAAACGCTGTCGTTTAAGTTATGAGGTGTGAGCTGTAAAGATGGACTTATGCGGGGCAAGGTCTGTGGTGTAAACCATGCGGTGTCAGCTAAGTTGTGCAAGCTACGTGGTGACAGCTGTGCGGCGTACGCCATGTGATGTAGGCGTTGCCGTGTAAGCTTGTACTACGTGGTGACAATTATGCGGCGTACGCTATGCGACGTAGGCGTTGCCGAGGCAGTTTATACGGTGGGATCTATCATGGTAGCTATGCGGTGTAGTCTAGGTGGTTCTGACAATGTCATGCACGCCAATGTGGCGCCAACTACGGTTGTGAATGCCATGTGCTGTGAGATATGTGGTATACATTGCGTGTTGTAATGCCTGTGGTGTGAGCCGGAGGTGAATTTCACGCGGTGCGAGCTAGCTTGTTCACGCTATGTAGTGTGAGTTATGGGGTATGAGCTGTGGGAGTTTAACCCATACGGTGTAGGCTTACGCTATGCACGCTATATGGTGCACGCTATGTGACGTCAGTTATGCGGTGGATGCTGTGTGGAGACAGTTCAGTTTTGTGGCGTTAGACGTCATGCGCTGTGCGTTAACAGGTTTCAGCTATACCGTATAGAGGTGTGAGCCAGAAGTTGAAGCCATGCGGTGTAATCAATGTTGTGTAGGCTACGTCGTATTTGGGGGAGCATTATGCGGTGCAAGCCATGTGGTGTAATCTACGCAGTGTAATGTAGGAGGTGTGAATTGAAGGTGGTGACATATATGCGGTGCGCGCTAGGAGGATTAGTTAGTGGTGTAGTTTAACTTATACGGAGCGAGCTACAGGTAAGTTCTATTCTGTGTGATACAGGCGGTGTAAGCTATGTGGTATAAGCTCTGTCGTATAGCCTAAGTGGTGTAACCTGTCGTGAAACCCAACTTGCCCCGAAAGCGCGGTGCGCCCACGAGGCGCCCACGAGGCGACACGGGCCCATTCCGTGGCGAAAACAGCCCGGGACCCCCCCACCAAGCGCGGGGCGGCAACGAGGCGCCCCACAGGCGGCATGGGCCCGCAGCCTGGCGAGAACCCGTGACCCCCTCAAAAGGCGGAGCGTCCAGAAGGCGCCCACGCGGCGGCACGGGCCCGCAGCGCAGCGAAAACCCTGGAAGCCCGCCCAGATCCTTGCGTACGCTAAGTAGGACTTCCGGACCTCAATCCGAGGCGGGGATTTGTCCATATCCACGACCTGGGGGATCGATCCTCGCAGACCCACGGGCGGTGAATATGGACATATTCGGTCATGCGGGGGCCAAACTATATCCATATCCACCGCCCGCTGGGGTGCCAGGACGTCGGTTCCCAGGCGGTGGACATGGATCAATTCCCGCCTCGCATTCAAGTGCTGCTCGGGTAAAATCAGATGCTGGGAGCGACACTTTTGGGGCGCAGCCAGGGGAGAGAGCACCGCAGCTCTCACTCCCCGCACGGCGCTTGCACTTGGGGGGTCTTGCTCGCGTCCCCGAGGAAACGGATAGGTCCGCCCAGGACTAGCCACGCGGCCGCACGTGGACGCCTCGTTGCCGCCCACCGCGCCTGCCACGCTGCCGCGCGTGGGCGCCTCGTTGCCGTGCACCGCGCCTGTGGGGTCCGCCGAGGCTTCGCCACGCTGCAGCCCGTGGGCGCCTCGCTGCCGCCCACCGCGCTTGGGGGTCCGCTCCGCGCTGCCGCCCGTGCCGCTTCGTGGGCGCTCGGGCCGCCCCGTGCGCGGAGCCCGCACGACGCAGCCTGCACCACAGAGCCTGCACGGCGTAACTCGTACCACAGAGCCTGCACCGCACAGCTCACGTCTCACAGCCTGCACTGTGCACACATGCCACCACCTGGCTTGCACCGCATAGCTTTCACCTCCAGCCCACACCATGCATACTGCTTGACATAGCTTGCACCACATCCACTGCACCGCATAGCCGTCACCCCGTTAGCCCAGACCACATAGCTTACATACCATAGCTTGCACCGCATAGCTTGCACCGCGTAGCTTTCACCTCCAGTGCAATAAGTCATTGTTGGGGGTCCTCGCTGGCTAACTTATTAGGTAATTGTGGCGGGAGGAAGGAGGATTGGGGGGGCAGGGAGGAAGGAGGTGGAGGAAAGCGGAGGAGGGAAGGAGTAGGGTGGAGAGAGGAGGCACGGGGGGGGGGAAGGAAGAGGGGGGCACGCTCATTGCGCTCGGGCCACATCTGAAATCTCACCCGTGCCGCAAATCCCTTCTCATGGTGTTGAATCCCTGTCGGGTGTCCTGTCGTGGCGTGATCCCCAGGTGGTTCCTGCAGCTTTTGACAAGGTGTCTGCTGCAGAGCTTACAGCGACTAGCCCGGCGTCCACGGCACAAAGGGCGAGGGGGCCAAACCAGACTATTGAGCGCGCCAGGAGTGCGGGTGACCGCTTGGGCAGACAGGTGACGTGCACAGTCGGACTGCCGCGTGTGCGCAAACAGAGGCAACATCATGCCGAGGCATCGGAGCTTCCACAAAGCAGATCATGAGGGGGAGTGAGGGAGGAAGGAGAGGGGGCGGGAGGGGGGGGGTGGGATGGAGGGGAGGGTGGACGGATCGGGGGGAAGGGGAACAGCAGGATACGTGACGTAGTGGACGGATCGGAGGTGAGGGGGAGTGGGGGGAATACCCGTATCCTGCTCTTTTTCCGCCACCACGCCACTGCTTCTTCTTTCCTGTCTCTTCACCCCTCCCTCTTCCCTCCCCAGTGTCTCTGTTCCCATCGCTACTGCCGCTGTTGCTCGTTCATCCTCCGTCCTCCCCGTCTCCCGCCTTTCCTCTCTCAGTCCACTCTCTGCACCCTTCCTGCCTTCCTCTCTCCCTCCTCCCTCCTCACTTCCCCCCTCCCCTCCCCTCCCCCTCCCCTCCCCTCCCCTCCCCTCCCCTCCCTTCCTCTCTCTCCTTCAACGCCTCTCCCCTTGTGTCTCTCTGTCAGCCCACGTTCAAATAAACACTCATGTTTCTACTCTATTTCTCTACCTCTCGATCTCTTCCTACTCCTCATGCCCTCCCCTCCCTCCTCCCTCCTTCCTCTTCCTTCCTCCCCCTCCTCCTGCTCCCTTGTCTCCTCCTCCCGCCGCCCTCCTCTTTCCTCGCTCCTCCCTCTTTCCTTCGGCCCCTGCTTTCCCTCCTCTCCGTCACCCCTCCTCCTACCTCCTTTCCGCCTCCTCCGCCTCTTTCTCCTCCTCCTCCTCCGCCTCCTTCCTCTGCTCCTCCCGCCGTCAAGGCGGCGGCGGGCGTCACGTTCGTCGAGGAGTGCGGGCAGCGCGACGCCGTGGCGGGCACGCTGGTGAGCGCTGTGGAGCTCACGGGCGAGTTCATGGGCCAGGCTTGCCACGGCGGTGGTGGTGGTAGTGGTGGTGGTGGTCGTCGTCGTCGTCGTCGTCGCCCTCGGGAGGAGAACAATGAGGAGGAGGAGGAGGAGGAGGAGGAGGAGGAGGAGGAGGAGGAGGAGGAGGAGGAGGAGGAGGAGGAGGAGGAGGAGGAGGAGGAGGAGGAGGAGGAGGAGGAGGAGGAGGAGGAGGAGTTGTTCCCCATCCGACAGATCGCGGTTTGTGAGATTTTAAGACGCATTCCCGCCTGCCCACCTGCATACGGCGGTTGCCAGACCGTGGGCTCGGGGGGCCGCCACGTCAAACATCCAGCGTTTTGTCTTTGGGGCCCCCAAGATTTTGGACACGGCGTCTCCGTGGGCTCGGGCGGCCGCTGCGTCAAACATCTTGGTGTTTTGACTGTGGCCTCCCCCCCATGTTTGACACGGCGCCCACGTAGACTCGGGGGGGGGATGCCACGTCAACCATCTTGCGGTTTGGGCCTTGGGAAACCCCAGGTTTTTGACATGGCGCCCCCGTTGGCTCGGGGGGGCGCCACGTGAAACATCCTGGGGTTCTGGCTAGGGGAACACAGGTTTTTCACACGGCGCCCCCGTGAGCTCGGGGGGTCGGGGGGCCGTCACGTCAAGCAAATCGGGCATTTGGTTTTGGGAGCTCCAGGGATTTTGACGCGGCGCCCCCGTGGGCTCGGGGGGGCGCCACGTCAAACATCCTGGTGTTTCTGCTTTTGGGCCCCCAATATTTTTGACACGGCGCCCCCGTGGGCTCGGGGGGGCGCCACGTTGAACATCTTCGGGGTTTTGGCAATGGGATCCCGCCCGTTTTTGACACGGCGCCCCCGTGAGCTCGGGGGGCCGCCACGTCAAACAAACATCTTGGGTTTTCCTCGGCGCTGGATTACTTTAAACGGAGAAGGTTAAAGGCGAGGTATAAATCGAGCATGTACCGCTGCCGTGCCTGGCTCAAGCCGGGCCCGGCCAAATATGTGATTGTGCCTCACCGAGGCGCACGACTTGCATCAGAGATCGGAAAATACCTTTTCCATTGACGATGCCCATCCTATCCTTTACTCCAGATCCCATGCTTCGTCTTGCTCTCTTGCTCATGCGATATGAGCCAAAGCCTGGGATATGGCAACGCTTAAAGCGTAACACATACCTAAGCTTACCAGCTTGTTTTCGACTTGGTAGCGGAGCTGGCTACACTCTCGTGTGGCTGGCTCTCGCTCTGATTCCTGTAATCCACGGCACAACTTGGTGGACTACTACTACGGTGGAATACCATGTTGCGCCGGCTCTGCGAGGAGCGGAGCCAGTCCGCGATCGAGCTAGCGGGGCAACCCGCGAACTCGAGACGCTCTCTCCTACTTCACTGCGCTACTTCACTCCCGACTTCCACCAGATGCCAATCGGCAACTCGATCGAGAACGTGGTCACCCTGCGGGGCTACCCGCAGCGGGGCCACCTGCATCCCGTGCCAGTCAGGCGCCTCACGGCTACTACGCCAGAGCCTGACAAACCACAGCCTAAACCAATCACCGAAGCCGAAATGCACATGCACTGGATTAAGATAACTATCTTCGGCATTCTGTGGGTAATAATGGGATGTGCTGTGGGATACATGCGGCAGGGGATGGACGACACGCGTACTACTGGCCCCTCATGGGACCCTGCCGGTACTACGCCTTTTCGCGAATATGTTCGCGAAGTACATGCATGGTTAAACGTAACGAGCGGCAATATGACACCACCACAACAAGCTGCAGCACTACAACGAGGCCTTCAAGGTCTTGCTCGTCGTATCGCCATGCAGGTCCCCTCCCAGATCATCAATTATGGTGTAACTGTCAATGGACAGCCAACGGATGCAGTAACATATATACTGTACTTACTGAGCACCAAATTTGAAAATCTGGAAGATGAGCGCCAGCTCAACTCTGGCACTGCCCTTATCGACTTTCGCGTCGAAAGGGGCGAGCGAATCGACTCAGTGTTAGCTCGGTTCGAGATGGCCCGTGACGAGGCTAACTCTGTTGGATTTGTCATCCCCAACTTTCAGATCCTAACGCTGATTCTCTTCAGAGCGTTAGGCGTTGGCGCGTCACGAGCCCAACACCTGCTGGAGCCCTTTAATCATCAGATGCCCCGAACACAAGCAGACTATGACAGGCTGCTGACCAGGATGAGGAACTACGGACATGTCGCCGAGCGCTCTCCTGGCAACATAGCGGGTATCTTCACAGGGCACCACTCACATGCAGGTGTCTACGCCACGACTGCGGGGTCACCCGCTGGTCCTGGCGAGCCAAATCCTTGGGCTGACCCAGCCGATATGCCCAACGAGGCCACTGCCCTTTTAGGGCAGACTGGCCAGGCATCGGCAGAGGCAGCTGAGGCGAACGCCTGGTCGAACTACTCGCCAGGCGCCGCCTGCGCTGCAAGCCCGCCCTCGGGCACAACCCTCTGGGGCCAAGCGGAGTCGTCCGCTCAAGGGTCTCAGCCACCCTCACCGTTTGAATCTGGCACTGACACAGACACCTCATCTGACGATGAGCACAATGGCATAGTCTCTGCAGGTAATGACTATCCAGCGGATGACACTCACCTTTCTGAACAACAAAGAGCGGAAGCCGCTTTTATGGCCTATCGCAAATCAAAACGCCGTTGGAGGCGCTTTATGAAGAAACCAGTCAGAAAAGTGAGACGTGCAGTGCGCCGACATTTCAAACGATATGGAAAGGGTCGTGGCAAAGGGGGTCGCAGACGCCGTATGCATGGTAGGGGTATCACTGCTTTCCTCACGTCCTTAACTGATATAGCCTTTGAGGAAGTTCTTATCGGAGGCAAAGGTCGGGGTCACAGGCGGACCTCCGGTAAGGGAAAAGGGCGGAGGGGCAACCCTAGGGACGCTTCTGGCAATACTATGAAGTGTCATACATGCGGTAGCACAGATCATTTGCGCGATCAATGCCCGAAGGGGAAAGGAAAGGGATCCGTACATTTGGCTCAAAATTCTTTTATGGATGACATAGACTACATTGACTACGAGTTTTACGTCAATCCAGAAGCGGCTCCCGCCGCGGGCTCCTCCACGTATTACGTGATGGCCCGCTACGCTGAAGCAACCGTAGCCCTGGAAGACTACGCAGTGACCCTCTTCGACGAGTTCCACGGCTGGGACGAGGTCGACGAGGTCGCGTTCAATGCTTGGTTCGGTCTTCCAGCGGGGCCACCCGCCGGCGACGAGGTCTCCGAAGCTGAGACCGTCCCGGCAACAGAGGAAGAGCTCACCGCCGTGCTGGCACCGCATGTGATTGGCATGCCGTTGCTGCCAAATCTTTCGCAAGCTGGCTCGGAGGCGGGAGACGCTGATGACGAAATGCGGGGCCATCCCGCGTACTCTGACTCCGAAGAGGCGGAAGATGACTATAAGGACATGCTCCAAGAGCAGGTCGCTGAAGCAATCCGACTCCTGAGTGCGCCAGCACATCAGCAGATAACCATGAACGACCTGCTGTCGCGCCCAGGGGCGGCACGGCTGCGTCCATACCTGGATTCGGACATGTCGGCACCTCAGATGCTGACAGCACTCCAGGCTCTAGCGGGGTCACCCGCCGAAGTGACGCCAGCCGCAACAGCGGGGCCACCCGCTTGGTCTATGGATGTATTTATGCAAGGTTGTGATCAAATAGACCTTAACGACCTCACGATGGAGCAGTTAAACGACATCGGGTACTTCCGAAGCCCGTATCAACACGTGTTCATGGTCCAGGACAGCTCAGAGGACTCGGAGGACATGCGCTACGCCAAGAGGGACAGACGACCGTCGCCTCCCCGAGACTCAGAGCATGACGATCAAAGGCCAATGGAACGTGGTAGTGCGTCAGCGGGGCCAGCCCGCAGGAGGAGCCGTTCAGCTCCCAGACGCCCTACACATGATGCATCGGGCTATCCATACAGTACTGAGCACTCCGTTGGAGTATCCGCTCAGCATGTGCCGGATTGGTACATCAACTGGTACCCCGGCTATTCGATGGACGTGATCCGCCACTGGTATTCTAAGGAGTACTGCACCAAAAGGGACGAAACTGGCGTGATAATACGTACCAAGGGTGGCAAGACCAAAACGCCAGAGGCTTGGGACAAAAGGGCTAAGAAACAGGAGATCATCAACGATCGCAAGACATACAGGAAACAAGTATGTCAGTGCGAGCGCTTCAAAGGTCACATGCGCAGTTGTCCGATGGACCGCCCCTCCAGGAGTCCTCATCACTGTGAGACCCCGTGGAATTGGTCTCATGGAGATGACGCTGGCAACGTCCATGATCCTAACAAGGAGGTCCCTGGAGGAGGAAAGCGCATCACCGAAGCCGATCGCGTCCCTATGACCGAAGAGGTGGCCAACATCGTCAGGGAAAATTGGGTACAGCTTCCCAATGACCATCGCCTCAAGGAATGGAACCGCCGATTCCATAAAGAGGCGGGGTCACCCGCAGGATCCAGTAAAGAGGCGGGGTCACCCGCAGGATCCAGCAAAGAAGCGGGGTCACCCGCAGACGCGGCGCCAGCCGCTGGGTCCGCGGACGACGATTGGATAGCTGTTGCATCTGCTGCTGGGTCCGCCGCCGGCACTGACCACACCGAACTGAATGAAGAATGGGCGGCGGAAGACGGCTCAGAGAATCCATTCCCTGATGGATGCGCCTGCTGGTACTACAGCTCTTCGGCGCAGAAGTGGTTTTGCACGAGGGTAATTCACCGCCATGAAAATGGCAAGTACAAGCTGGCCATAAAAGGTACTGCCGACATCGACCAGATGAGGCAGGTCATCCATGACCATGGCCAGCCAGAAGGCCCTCCTAGAGACCCTCCTGGTCCACAACCGGGCAAGGGCAGCAGACCACCTCCAAGACCTGAAGCCGACTCCTCGTCTTCACCGACTCCTGCGAAAAGGCACCCGTCCAAGAGCCCCGAAGGCACACAGGGGCGGGCGAAGG